CACCAAAATGTTGTTAGAATAACTGGCCTTGTCATTCGATTCCCAAACGTTCCAAACACGAAGCATAACGTGCATCTACTCCTTGACATCCCTGTTACGTAAATACTTACACGTAATGGGTCCTACATATGCATGGTTTGACTGACATGTTTCATCACAGAATGTCAGCAGCAGCAGGTACTGTACAGCACACAACTAAGCGCTCTCAATTGCTGCCGTCCGACTTCCGGTAAAGAAGAAATTAATAGTGACTGTAATAGTTGAAAAAATAAAACAAATGCATAGTTTAATCTAGTTACATAACTCAATTAAAATTTTAATCAGATTACAAATGATCTGGATTAAATAAATTGAACGAATAGCACATACATGTATAACCAATATATGGCCGTCTGATACAGACCGTTTGAAAAACTTAGCCTCTATAATTCAGACGCATGCAGGGATGCGCAAGGTGCTTTCGCGTCGATATCTGCTCCCTGTTTCCATGCTATGTAATGAATATGGATCTGGTCCCACTCTACAAAATACGGGACATATTTCCAAGTTATAAGCCTGCAATTCTCGTAGTTGAAGAAACCAGTTAATGTCAGATATTAGAAATACCGAATGTGTTTCACTACTGGCAGAATTAATAGGCAGAAACCTGAGTTATCAAAAGAATAAATCGGATTACAGTCTGTAGCCTGCTTCCTTTTTCATTTTCTTTTTATCAGCATCACCATCCTTACGTAATTTCGCTAGATTAAAATATGGGACGGAAGTTTATTAAATATTGATAAATCCTTCGGAAATGTGACAAAGGTTTAAAGATTTTGAAGTCATGGTAAAAGATATAAAACTTATTTATAATTATATTAAGAGTAACTTAAATTTGTGTAATGATTAGTACTATTAATGCAGAATATTTTCTGTTCTGTTTTCCAATATCTTGAAACTAAAATATGTAAAATTATCATTTTGCTTGCTTTCCGCTCGAGTAAATCTCCCTGCATTGATTGCGTCGAAGGATGTGTCGGTAATTTGGGAGGAATTTTAGGCTTAAGAAAAGAAAGACTCCATGCAGTGGAGGAGTGTACGTAAAGAGGAGCTACGCAACTCGTTTTCCACAGCAATATTAATAACTTAATGGGAGTAATAATGGAATAAATGATTACACATACTTTCAACTTGACGTATTGAGCCTATGCCATTTTTAATGGGACTATAACCCAGTTGTCGGGTTCCCTTTTTTAAATAAAAAATTGTAACCAGTAATCTAATGTAGAAACTTTACCTGGGGTCTTCCATTTCGCTACATTTCCTCGCGTCCTACATTTTTCACACTATTATATTTGTTTCCATTCCGTCCCGTTTTCATTTTTTGTTCAAATTCCATTTCCCTTACGCCTCATAACTTCCACCCAGGGAATTATTGCTTCTCCTAAGTTTGGATTCTCTTTCCTCTCCTATTCATCTTACCATCGAACAGATACGAAACTTTTTGCATTGTTCTCTATACATCACATTCTTTTAAATGTTTTTGTCGCTTTTCTTACTGTAGGGTTTTCAGAACTTGCTGATTCCCCTTCAGCTTAGTTCTTCAGTAATTTTATTCAAGTTGTGAAACTTATGATTAAAAAAAACACGTATTCTGCCGCCTAGACCATCCGCATTCTGTTTTGTTGGCAGGTTACTTTTAATCATATGGACATAAATTCTTTCCGAGGACGCCCTTTGTCACATCCTCTCTTATTATGATGTATTTCATTTCCTTTTGCAGCTCTCCCACCACTTTCATTGCTGCTTTCAAGAAAGAATTAAATGAACTTTTAGTTAAATCCATGCCTATTTCATTACAGAAAATTAAGTACTTCTCCCTATTAACTTCCAGCATTTGACTTATGTTTCCTTGAATAATATTTCCGCCTATTTAATCTCCTATGAATAATTGTTAAAAATTCACTGTTAAATCCCAAATTTCTGTCCCCTCCTAGTCATATATTGATTTACCATTTCCAGTTGTTTAAGATCTATTTTAATATTACCATTCGATCAACGCCTAGGTCTTCTAAGTGATCTCTATCCGTCAGTCTTTCCGGCTCAAATTTATCATGCGTTTCTCATCAATACCTTTCGTGTTATGTGCTTCATTCTCATGGATTTTATCAACCTACTAACATTTGATGAAGAATACAGGTCATGAATCTCCATATTATGCGCATTTCAAATGTTTCAGTCCTGTTTCTTTGTCTTTCTCTGCTTCGAAATCTTATCTGCAGCACCTTGTTCCAGTCGCCCTCAGTATGTGTTCTTCGCTAAGTATGAGGGACAATTTAATTGTCATTAATCATGAAGAGAGAGCAGCATCTAAAGAACTATGAAGGCAGTGTTACACTATAAATTTAAAGCATGTTGAATGAAGTGTAAACAGCATTGGTCTTTTAATGTACAGTGAAGAACCACGAAAAAATTGAGTTAGTACAGTCGGATCTTTCGATAAAATTTGAACCACTTGCCTCAAGAATATTCCAGAGATAAACAATTGTTCCGTCAAAGCTACGCTTATAATATCCAAAGTTTATTTCCATATTTGAGATTGGAAAATTAAGGAGCAGCTTCCGAAATCTTGCTTTGTTTTTTTTTTTTTAGGGAACATGACGCTAAAACGTTTGGTTCTGCGTTTCTTAATATCTGTCGGCCTAGAATTTGATCCGAGATCGATTGACACTACTTCTGCCTCACCTAAAAGGTCCATATGTGTCTTTAGTTTACTATTTCCGACGCGCAAGGTAAAGGTAACGTGATACAGTACTTACGTGACCTTTATTGACTTTGTGTTTCTGTTGAGTTTTATGAAGTTCATTGATTTGAAAGTTATTGGGGTGCAGGTACAAACACAGCTGTTTTTGCTTTAATAAATGTGCTCTGAAACGGTAGCCATTGTCATAAGGTCTTCGTACGGAACCGGCATTGCTCAACAAAATGACGTTTGCATTTCGGAACAAGAATGGGTTTCTCTTCTTGCGAACACGTTCTGTATGAACGTGTGGCTCGATTAGGATCCTGCGCAGTGGATAATAGAAATTTACCTTCGACGTGAAAGCGGCTAGGATGTGCAGTAGAATATTCGCCTCAGTATAACCAAGAAATGAAAAATTAGTAATGTTTACCTCCGCTCCTTGCCACTCCTTCGCGGCTTGGCGTCTTATGTCGTTTATAATATTATATCAACTTCATGCAGACGCTTGATATCGGAAGTTTTGATTTTGAATTTCAGCCATGTATATGTGTGTACATGTGTGCGTGTGCGTTAGTATGTGCGTGAGTGCGCTCGCGCGTGATATATACATTTTCTACAATTTGTGCCGTTTCCTGTTTATTCTCCATTCAATTCATTGTTTCCATTCTTGAGTATAAAGCCCATTGCTAGCAGAAGCGTTGTTGCTCATAGTATCCCTATTGTAGTCTGCAGCGAAAACCCATTTCAGGTAATTACATCAATATCTCTGTAGGTTTGAGCAACGAGGCAGTACTTCCATTTTGTATAAATTGCAATTGCCAAATGTCCTCATCAAAATTTATTGCTGACGGGAGCACATGCAAGATGGAAGGAAGAGAAGGGTTCAGATATGCACTACAGACCTTGGTATCTGTATACAGTAAAGATACAGCGCACCATTCTCCCTCTCACTGGCAAGACACTGATTTCTAGTCAGTGAGCATATCCTGCAGGACGCAGTGGGGCACTTCCACACGCTGGACATCCATTATACGGTCCCTTTGAGCACGTGGATTGACATACACGGGAAACTGCATCTGGCTTTTATACTGTGCAACTGCACAGTTTCCATGTATGTTAATTTCTACATGCTTGACATGACAATAAAAAGAGACACTGCGCATATGCATGGCGTCTGTGTGCCCTCTAGACACAGGGCCTTAAATGAATGAAAGTGAATTAAATGTACGTGGTCCTAGGAGCATAAAATAAATGCAGGTGGCCTATAGAGAGTTTAATCAAATAGTATTTTAATCATATTTTATCAGAAACTCAGAATATCTACTTAAATTTCAATTTATGTTCTTAAGTATATTAACCCTAAAGTATAATTAAAATAAGTTCAGTCGATATAGCGGCGGGTTACATGTTAGACGGCAGCGGTTCGATTCCCGGCGGGGAAAAGTGATTTTTCTCTTCTCCGTGTTCAGACCTGCTTTGAAGCCCGCTCAGTCTCGTGTCCAGAGGGTACATTGGGCCTTTTCCCTAGGTGTAAAGCGGCCGGGGCGTGAAGCTCCACTACTCCATCCAGTGCCGAAGTCAAAATGATGAATCTATACCTCCATTTCCCGATGTCTTCGTAGCGTGGTGCTTAATTACTTAAGCACGGGGACACCTTTGCCATTACCTTCACGTTAAACTTACACCTGTCAGCATTCATAATAGAAGAGCATCCTATCAGATTCAAATGAAATCTGTCAAAAAATACAGAAAATATAAGTTTACGTAAAAGTTCAATTAACCTTTTAATTGTAACTTGTACTCTTCTCCAAGTATAATTACAATGATCAAGTCAAGGAGGATGAGGTGGACAGGGCATGTAGTACGACCAGAGAGACGAATTCATATAGGATATTTGTGGGAAAGCCAAAAGGAAAGAGACCACTGGGAAGACCAACGCGTAGGTGGGTGGACAATTAAATTTGATCTTAGAGATATAGGATAAGATGGTATGGATTTGATTGGTCTGGCTCAGGATAGGGACCAGTGGATGGCTCTTGTGAACACGGTAATGAACCTTCGGGTTCCATAAAATGCTATGAAATTCTTGAGTAGCTGCAGAATTGGCTTCTCCTCAAGAAGGGCTCAACTCCATGAATAATTAAGCCTTTTAATTACATTCCTTAAAATCGCGTAATACGAGTGAAGGTTAGATGTGCTTCGTTAAGCAAACCAAGAAAACAGTCGCCATCACTGTGCAAATAATGCAGATATGACAATCGCCTCTGCCTCTTCGCAGATTCTCCCAGTGACCGCAAGTCTGCTGTCGCTCAGCGCTCTCTCAGTGGACCGGTATGCCTCCGTGAAGCAGCCTCGAGCCTTCTCCCAACTGCGTCCCCGAAGACACGCCATGATAATCACAATGGTTTTCGTGTGGGGCGGGGCGGCACTCACTTCGTCGCCTGTCGTCGTCGTCAACTTTGCTGGGACTGGGGGACAGTGCGAGGAGACGTGGGCCTCTCCGATATGGCGTACATCATTTAACGTCTGTCATCTCGGCCTCATGTACCTGGCGCCCTGCCTCACGGTTGCTGTCTGCCATTTCGCCGTCGGACACAAACTGTGCGAGGTGTCTCTCACAGCTGCAGCTGCTCGAGGTCAACTCCCGCTCCCAATGCCCATTCTCCGTCGCCCAAAACATGTCATTATAGTTGCATCACTAGCGAACGACGCTCCGTCCAAGGTAACGCATACATCTTGCAGCATAAATAATTTATGGTGGGTGATGAATTTTAGCTACTTAGGAAATTAGACTGAATATTGCCTCCACCTCACGCGGCAGCGTAGTTGTTTGAGGCACTATGCTACAAGCCGGAAGATCGCCGGTTCAAGTCCCGATGAGGTCATTGGATAAGTATAAGTGACCCATTTTTGTTCTTTTTCGTACGGATAATAAAGACGAAAGAGAACAAAAATGGGTCACTTATACAGGAAATAACATAAGAAAAATCACAAAACTATTCAAAAACACTAACATAAATATAGCCTTCAAAACAACTCGCACTATAGGTAAACTAACAAATGAAAAACGATAAATAAACCCATACGAACAAAGTGGGATATACAAAATAACATGCCAAAGCTGCCAGAAAGTATACATCGGCCAGACTGGTAGAAATATAACAAAAAGATACAAAGAACACATAAGAAACATAAGACTAAACAAAGACGCTTCAGCATTCGCCCAACACATACTAAATAAACAATATCAGTACGGGCCGATGACAGTAATCATGGAAATGATTTAAAAAGCCAAAAAAGGAGGTATCATGAATATAAAAGAGGACTTCCATATATATCGTTTTAATAAGTTCAATAAATTGATAGAAGAAGAAAAACACACAAAAGAAAGTAATAGCCAACGTAACATGTTCGACCTTATGATACATCAGAGCACGCCAACATCAACGTCACAGATACAGGAAGTATAAATTACACGGCACAGCAGACTCTAGAACAGTGTAAACAACACAGCAAGCCACGAATAAACATGGACAATACTAAGGTAGGACAAAATCCTTAATATATATATATATATATATATATATATATACATATACATTAGGGTCGCTGAAATTAATATTATACCCATAATACGAGTATATTTGCAAAATCTCCTTTCTCAAGATAGACAGGCGGCACAGGATCAGCTACCTCCAAGAAAGACAATATGAGAATTGACACGAGCCTGCATGGTTTATAAATTTTAATCTTAAACAACAAAGTTTTTAAGAAACTTTAAAAGTTTTAATACCAGAAAGGCTGCTGTGACTGTGAAAAGTTGAACATTGTGTACATTGTGTATTTCAGACATTATATGTGTATGTATATAATTTAACACCTATTGTAATAGTAATTTCCGGAAAAAGTATTGATGCCCTCTGAAGATGATCCGTAGGGATCGAAACATGTAAGGGTGATGAGTTTTCAAGTGATAAAACTTAAATAGTCACACTGGACGGTGTTATTTTTGTCCTTGTATATCTTTGCTTTCCGTGGAGCATAAGTGAAATTATGTGGAAAGAACTCGTTAATAAATATTAGACCTACTCATTGAATAAAATTTAGGCTTCTGTAGATGTGATTCAGTAGCCGTACCTAATATAGTATATACTCGTATTTAAAGAACTGTAATAGCTAATGTTTATGCCTCCGTGTGGAGTGAAATTGACTGTCTATTGTCTATTAGCCCTCTAAAAAATTCAGTGTGAAACAACTGAATATCGAGGTCAGAGAGGGATAGAAAATCACGAGCAGTGCATCACAAATTTACATTTACGCCACACAAAATGGCGTTCCCCTCTCTACATTGTGGTCAGACTACGTGCACACTCCTCTTCATTCCTATCTGAATGTTACTTTTACTATCTCCGAACTCATAAACTTCTTTTCTAAAAGCGTCGGTTGCATCTCTCGTAATCTGAAGGCAGCCGATTCTGCTGTCTTCACTGGTATTCTAGTTACATTTTTAGTCACCCAGAAAACGCCAGAATGGCGCTGCAGTGCACACATCCCTGTATCCCTATCATTCCTCTTTATTTTAATAATTAACGGCCAGATTACCAGTAACGATTCGTAAATTCTGCAGTTTCTGCGCTTTAATCGTGTAATGTTTTAGCTACTAAAATGCTGAATTTCTTTAAATAATTATCAAAATTCAGTTCATGACGCAGGAAACACAACGAGTCTCCGATACAAATACCGACCTTTTAATGCTGCTTAGAAACATACAAGTGCACTCTGTCTGCAGAATTCAGAACTTTTTCATGTTAAACAAAATGTTATGAGCCGGGAACACTCATTCTGTATGGAGACTGGCTTCGGGTTGGAGAGTCGAGTGGTCGGAGTTCAACTACCTGTAAGTGTAAGATTTTTCTCTCCTCCAAAGCTTCTAGACCGGTTCTGGGGCCCACACAGCCTTCTATCTAATGGTTATTGGAGACACTTTCTCCGGGGGTCAAGCGGCCGTGGAGTGAAGTTGATCACTCACCTCCAATTAGTGGTCAGGTCAAGAACACATGATCCATACCTCCACTCCCATCATACGTCTTAATTTCGTGGTGCTTAAACAGTTAAGCACAGGAACAACTTTACCTTTTGCCTTTAAATAAGGTGGCTTTCCGCGTACAGATTAATTAAGGAAACAAAAAAGAGCGTTCTCGGAAATAATTCTCCTGCCATATGTTGGCAGTTCCTTGAATTGTCAAAAGATGGCAGGAGACCTCATTTTCTCTCAGGAACGCCACGAAAACTTCAGTCAAGATAGCAGGTGTACCGGTCGAAATCCGAGAGGAGCGCTTCCCGAACACAAGTCTAGAGCGCTACCGCTGGGCTGTCCTGTTCGCTCCGACAAATTTCAGTGTAAACTTCCCGTACTAATTTAATCGAAATCCTTTACTAATTAGTTTGAGATATGAACCATAGATACGGACAGATATGATACCCCCACTATGCGTTTGTTTTACATGCTGAGGGCAATGAATGCATAAACAGGGATTAACTCCCGTGACAACCGCAGGCGCAGCAACAGCAACACGCATTGCGCTGCCCGTCGCTCTGAAAGCGAGTGGCTTCGTGTTTGTGACTCAGATACATGTAGCTCATCGATTCAGAAGGGACTAATGCGCTTAATCCGAGATGTCAGTGACGGCTGAATAATTACGACAGATTTTCCGTATTTTCATCTGCTGCAACACGAATTTACACTGCTGGACTCATTGCACACAGAAGAACTGTCTCGAAATTCAGATATTTTTATGACACGTTATTCATGTATCGAGCAGCTACAGCATAGTCTGCGTTAGCCAGTCATGAATATGACGATTCTCCGGTGTACTGCTTCAGAATAGGTCACAACCACATCCTTTCACATCATGAAATTATCATTCGTCACCACTTTCAAACCACAACCAAGCAAGCTGAGTGTAGCAATAAAGCTCATTATGTGTATTTGGCATATTTCCGGTTCGAATCTCTTCCAGGACACCGATTTCTGATTTCTTCGTGATATTCCTCAGTACCTCTAGTTGAAATCCGGAACAGTACCTTAAATTGGGCTACGATGCTTCCTTCCACATGCTTCCTTTAATCATTCGCCGATTATTATTATTATTATTATTATTATTATTATTATTATTATTATTATTATTATTATTATTATTATGGTCTTCGACGCAACAGCCCAGATAATTAGTTATCCCCTCGTTATTCACCGCATAAGCGGGAGATCAGTCTCAAAGTGGTCGAAGCGGAATTTTTTTTTTGTTTGTGAAAACAAAAGTGGTGCTGCTGGAATGTTAAGTAAATGTTTTTCATAAGATTGGCCGCCCTTCTTGAAGAGGAGGAAATAGTGGATACATATTTTGGGTAAGGAAAAGGATACTGTCCCGGGAAGCACAACAGCATTTAGCAATTTGCAAGTGGTCTCGAGTTTGACGGCTATGATATATACATTACTGTAGACATCCGAGGAGTTGTACGGCCTGTCTCGATATGATTTACACAGAATTCAAATAAATGATGCTAAGGCATGAATCTCCATGCACTACCAGTCAAGTCCTCTGAATGATGACAGTCTCTTCAATCGCTGTGTGTTACAGGTGGTCCCGTACCGCGGTGGAGACAATCAAGGTGATGAAGATTCTTCAGACAATGAAGGCCTGGCTTTTCAGATTCGCGCAGATCTGGACGACTTACGACCTAGACACTCGTCTCAGAAGAAACGCCGTCAGACCCTGGGATCTGAAAACGGTCCCTTAAAACTGAATAAATTACAACGAGCCACACGCTCTGAGCGCACCATTATTCGTGCCAACCGCCGACTTCGGCGTCCGCCGCCACCCTGCCCCCGACCGCCTCTCGTCAAGACAGCCAGCAGACAGTCCCTTCACAGCCGTCGTCACCTGGCCCACATGCTGGCCTTTCAGGTGCAGTTAGGGCGCCCAGGCAATTCTCCCTACCGCATAATGCATCTGCTTCTATATTTCTGTCCCTTAACCCTTTCCATGTCAGATCAGTACTGATACTTATAGCCTAGATTTATTTGCCGTTTGAGAGCAGAGAACAGTATTTCGTCAGAAATATCTCAGCAGGAAACAGCCGTTCTTTTTGCTATTTTCATTTGATAGAAGTTACGAACACATTTCACCAGTGAAATATCCCTGTAAAGCGTTTTCTTTTTAAACAATAATCAATATGGAAACGTTAATTTTTTTCATACTTTAATACGAATCTTTACACCGTGAAGTTTGTTTTTAGAGAATGTAAACTCACGGCCGAATCATACAGACACAGTTCGGAGTAAATATCCCTATCTGATTCTGTACATTGATTTCCAATGGTATAATCGTTATTTTTCAGAGCGAAAATACTGCCCCAATCAAAATTACAGGTTTTTGCACTTGTCATTATGACTACGAAATAAGAGTTATTTCATTCTACCTCCTTAGCCTTAGGCAACTTCTCCGACAGTTATGTTGGTCGTGTCAGTCGGGATGTTGTCTGCAGGCGAACTGCATGCAGGACAATCATTGCAATGGAACTAATTAAACGTATATTTAAGAACTAAAAATGGCATTTGTGAACAGATGTATATTGAAATATGAGCAGTAATTAATATTTTTATACTTTAATTGTATTCCAAAATGAAGGATAACTAGATGTGATTTTGCAATATTGCTATACTACGATAAAGCAACGGACTCTTCCAGGCCAACGTAAATCAATGTACTCAGGGTCAATTATATTATTAGCGGCTCTGACATTAGCTCAGAACAGACAGTGTCGACTGGCAGATTCATTATTGAATACTGAATTGGACAGTATAATTACCAAGGAAGCGATCTGGTCGAATTTGAGTTCCTCTTCTGATGTTTGCTTGGAAAGATTGAGTAAGATCACGAAAGCTTGAGCCAGGAAGTCAGGATATCCGGTGCCCCAGCAGATATTCGAGACGGTTCTTTCCAAATATTAATCAAAAACTTTACTTTTGGGCCCACTTTCTCAGTAACAATTGAAAAATTCTGAACGACAGAAATATAATAATACATCGACGTTATCGTGATGAATTTGAAATATTTAAATTAAGTAATATGGAAGGGGGCCTTCTTTAAGAGACGCCACATGTACGACCAAAGTTGGTATTACTGAAACAGTTTTCAGTTTCAAACACAGTAATATAAACTGTATTCTCGCAAAATATACGACCATGAAAATCGAAAGAGGAATGTTCCAATTCGAGACACGCACTACAGAGAGTTTCTGAGCAATGGGTCGTTAATCGGGGTTCCCGCGTTCTTTCAACTGAGGTTAATTTATTAACCAGTGATTCTCTGTGTACCACCTGGTTTAACATAACGAAACTCTGAATTCTGCCCACGTGGTGAATCTGTATTATAGATTCTTAATAGTAAGCAACGATTTTTTCCTTAAGAGAATTAACCGCTGGGATGTAATGTGTTTCCTGTGAGGTACGAACTAAATGTTTATGGACGTTACTTAGAAGAACTTCAGTCTCTGAGAGTTAAATGTTTTAAATTCGATTTATTCATATTGAATACTTGTCACTTTAGCAAATTAATCTAGAACAGACCTTGATATCTGAACTTAAACTGATTAATAATCTGTTTACTGTAATTGCATTTCCTCCACTCAAGCTGTGATGATCACATTACCGTGAAAGTCTTCACTAAAAACCCAATGCATCACTGGTTGTTTGCACAGGTGGCTGTTTTGGCGGTGTGCTGGCTACCTTACGTAGGGTGCGCCCTGTGCGTTGAGCTGTGTCCCCCCTCTGATGTGGTGACTGCGAACGCCGTGCTGCCATTCTGTCTGCTACTAGGTCACGCACACTCTGCCATCAACCCTGCGCTGTACTGGCTCCTAAACAGACAATCGCTCCAGTTACCCGGCTGTACCGGCTCCCAGCACCGCCTGCTTTCTGGAAAGCTACGCCTGTTTCGTCTTCCCGATCTCCACCGCAATGCCGCCGCAGCTGCCCCTTCGTCAACCAATGAGGCTGCCCTCGGCCCGTTCCACCCTCGATACGTCAACTTGAGGAAACCGCAACCCCAAAGGTTCCCCACCTCACACTTCCTTCAGTAGTGATATATGGCTCTTTCGGTTTCTCCTGAAATGTAATACTAGTCTGGCTTAATCCTTTGGGAAAGAAAGGTTTACAGCAGCCAGAAGTATTCTGCTGACTTCAGTTACTTCATAGAGTCTTATTAACTTACGTCGGGTTTATCAAGAAACCCTCCCCCATACCTTATAATTTAACATGTAAAATTTAGCCTACGGAAAATGCAATATTACACAATAGTCTTAACGCCATACTATAGGCCTACTACTTTTTAAATCTGTATTTTGTTAAACTTGGCCCTCCTAAATACAAATAAACAAGAATGCGTTATATTCGTGAGGAATGTATTAAAGTGCTGTACAATATTTTTCATCTTCAGGTTGTTCAAATTTTTCTGCCGAAAGGAGCACTGGAATAAGACATGAACACTCGATCAGTCCGGGATTAGATGGCGAAGTGTACGGCGCGAAATGGAGTAACTGACCTCCTGCCGCACACAGCTCTGCGTTGAGAGTCTGAAATTGTTAAGACTTGTCTTGAAACCAGTTATTCTGTCCATCTGTCCGTTTTTTCCCGTTACTTCACTGGTCAGCCTCATGAACCAACGTTTTCTACATTCATATATTAAATGCACATATTCATGAGGCGATATTTATATTAAATAATATATGTTTATATTTATCATTTATATATATCTCAGTTTAAAATATTCTGCAACTTACAGTAATTAAACAAAGACAAGAGAACAATTTTTTCAAGGGGTACACTGTACCTTATACAGGAGCATATTCTGACGTCGAAACATTTCTAAACCGCAGAAACTGGCATTCTGTTATTAAAATCAGATCCCTTTGGAAATAGATATTTTAGTTGTATTGCGTTGCAGGATTTTGCAGAAACATAATATCATATTTTGAATTTTAACAATTAAATCGAAGGAATTCACAAAGTACAAATATTACCGTGTTAGTTTAGAGACTGACTGCCTTATATTACATTTGAGAATGTCATTTAACGACTGAAACTCAAAAGCGTTATGCACGTATATGAGTGGGACAGAATGTAAAGAGTTTCTTAGCAATAAATAAAACGTAACGTAGTGTAAACAGGACGTAAACTTGCACAAAAATCCGTTGGTAATTCTATTTATGCATTCACTTATTCTCTCCTTAGTTTGCACTTACTGTAGTAGAATTATTTTCTATTTAGGTATGCAGTTAAATCGCCAGGTGTAGAGTATGTCATATTTATACTGAGCTCCACACATTCTTCAGACGAAATTGTTGAGAAGTGATTGTTGTCCGACTAATCCAAATGAAATGATCGCCTGGTGGTTACAACATAATTTTATATGGACCGAAAAATATTTGATTTAGAGCCATTATACAAGACAAAATTTAAAGAGTTCTGAACTGTTTTTGTGTACGAAGTGAATTTAAATAATAGTAATCATCATCATCATCGGTAAAATAGTCCCTTTTCAGCCATAGTCTTCCTTCAAAATTTCTTCCAAACTGCATCTGGTTTTCACTATTTTGGATTTCGCAACAATAATTCTTTTACAGAGAAGGGCATTAATCTTATGTCCAACCCGCAACCTTGAGAACCACGTCTCTACATTTATGTCCCCCAGTGACATGATGGGCCAGTTATATCCCCAGGCAGAGGATTCCCTTTTCGTCGTATTCTATGACTCCCAGGGCTACGGTGGAGGTATTCTAACAAACCTCCACACAGAGTATAAAGTCAAATACGTATATTAAATTTAGTATACCTTAGTATATATACTGTACATACATATTTGTCTTCTACTTTGGTGAACTTTAAATTTTGAAAAATATTTGGCTATTTGATTATCTCATTGTAATGACTTACCTGAGCGGAGAAAATAAAGCGGGTATCTTACCCACCACGAATTTCAAGGTTTCTGGGACTGTAACACGTCATCACCTGTTGGCTGAGACAGAGGTAATCTCTGAAACGTTTAACTCTGAGTCTGGGCAGATTTTGTCGAGTTTATTCGCAGTGAAAGTTCCACATACCACCCACCATCTTGCAATATCTTTAAAGTGAAATACCTATGCGCTTTTACATGGCATGCACGAAGCGGACTGGTAACGGATAAATTAATTCTGTCTTTAAACGGTAAAAGATTCAACATAAACTGATCCAAAGTGAGTAAGAAAACAGCAGCGGTATTGAGCCGAAGTGTACTGACAATACCAGCTGGGGCGCGGGTTGAGAGATACAGTACTTCAAGGGACGAGATTAATAGTAGCGTTCTGTCGATAGATCGATTCATTGATTGTTGCCGTATTTAACAAAACAGTATTTTATTAGCATTGAATGAGATATAAAGATAATCACTAATGATATTTAAAAGTAGAAATCGTTATGAAACGACCAAGTTCCGAATGACCATAGGGAATTTTAAGAACTGTCTCCCACATTCGCCCATAGAATCTGCGAAGACCTTTCGTCAGTAGTTTCTAATCCGAACGAAATACAAGTTTGACACTTCCGGAAAAATGTCTAAAGGACACTCCCCTGCTCGTCACTACAGTTCGATTACTGATCGTGAGGAATTAATGGGTTCTTTGGAAGAAATTCTTAAAATATGTAGGTTATATATAACCCTCTCCGTTTCCTCATAAGCTTCATCCCACCGAATTAACAGATTATTATGCGTTTCGTTATAATAATTTCCTTTCTTAAACTAAAGTCCAACTTGTGTCAGATTTTCCAGAAACTGTTTAGCATGCAAGAGAGGTGGAATAGTTACATAAAGCGTAGGCATATATCTAATTAAAATATACATGTAAGATCTAAAACTTTGTGACGATGTTACATCGGTACAAATGTTATGTTTTTGGACATTATCCATCATCTTGTATCATCTAAAAACCGTCCTGTTTATTTTTCAAAACGCAACGTTTCGGAGACTGGATTGTGTCTCCGTCTGTAGGTAAACCCTGGGCCCAGCTCAGTACGTTTAACCTGAAGACGGAGACACAATCCAGTCTCCGAAACGCTGTGTTTTGAAAAATAAACAGGACGGTTTTTAGATGATACAAGATGATGGATGATAATGCCCAAGAACATAACATTTGTTAAATATACATATTTTGTCTCGATATTTATTGGATATTGTGTGTATATATATATATGCATACTGTGTAGTCAGCAATATATATAAAGAAATAGAAGAAAAATATTATTTATGTCTCTGTTAAGTGTGATATCTGTTCTATTTATTAGTTTTATAAACACCATAATTCTCTGTTCTGTTCAGTATTTGTCCTACTGGTTATATCTTGATTTATTTGGCGACCTTTTCCCATCTTCGTGGGTTATGTTATGTGTAACCGAGTGGGAGAATGCTTATAGGCGATATATTGGAAAGGATTTTGGAGAATTGTCCATGATATATTTTAATGCCGGTTATTTAGCATAATTTGCTTGGAAGGGCTGATGTAAAATACTAGAAATTTCTCATGATAGCCGACAATGAATCCTGGGATCTCTGATGTTCAGCATAGAAGTTAACTTTATATTCAAATATGCAGAATGTTCCAGAAATTTGTCATAATATCAGGACGCAATACCTGAAGTAATTAAAAAAAGTAAAGCTATCCCTGTACCAGGCCGTGAAGGCCCATAGGGTTGTGAGACGTTAAAGGTCCCACACTATCTAGACAATCGGCTCAAAGATGGCGGTAAAGTTGTCAGCCTTACGCGCCGGCCGCGTTTACTCCCCAGGAAAATTATTGAATTAATTCCTCGTACTCATTTCTGTTAGAGGCTGAGTCGACCCCAGGGCTTAGTACGGCTGAAAGTAATTACGAATGTAAAATACGTCAATACGGTAAGATTCTGAACGACTTAGATCTATGGGTAAGGAAAATTACGATGTTTTGAATAAGACAAACAAGTTTATTGTAACAAGAAATGTTATTTAATGGTCGTATATGTTGCCCTTCTTGACTTCATAAACAATATTTTTAATATTCACCCGCAAATGGAAGTGAAAGAGGTTAAGGTCTGATGATGTCCGTGAATAACTCTGCGGTCCTCCAAGGACAACTCATCGATCAGAAAAATTATGGTTAAGGCACTACATCCCATGAAGCTAAGGCGGACATTTTGAACATTTGCTGCCATACAGCCATTTAGGGTCATTAGTTGTTACAAGAGATCAGTTGCGCGTATTCAAGTAATCTCTAGTTCTAAGGACTGATTTTTTAAAATAATATATTTAAAGATACTGTTTATACATCAGAGGAAATATATTATTTTTCTTCTACAAAAAATAATCGGTTAATATTATTTAGGGGAAAAAACGCTCTCTCTTTTGAAAACCATATGAAACCTAGTACATTGAATTAGGTTCTACATAGTGTATGTATAATGTATAACACACCAGTGGAGCCATTCGATTTGCATGTAAATTAACGCTAAATGAATGATATGTTAATTGTGTTTTGTTGAAAAAGAGTGCAATATATATTACATATAGTGCATACAGAGTCACTGATCCCTGTCCCTAACCTAACTCCACAATCCTTCAGAATGTTACGTTTAAATTATATTTTCCACCCAGAATGGCCTCATGAATAATCTCCCGAAATTATGAAATAAAAACGTGAAACACTATAAGCAATTTATTTTCTTCATATTATGGATGTAATAGCCGGTCACAGTAGCCGTGCAGTCTAAGGTATGAACTGTCTTCGCTCACTCGGACGCTGGGATCGTGGGTTCGAATCACACTTATGTCATGGATGTTTTGTGTGTGTATGTATCTATTCTATTTTCGTGTTGTCGTGTGTTTAGGTAGCGGCCTTGCGACAGGCTGATCACTCGTCCAAGGAGTCCTACCGTCTGTGTAAAATGATTACGGAACTGAATAAAAGGCTTCGCCCTGAATGGGCTGGAAGAGCCATCGGGTAAAAGAGAATTGACGTAATCTTCAAGTGCATTTGGAACTGCCCTAATATTAAGATATGTGTATAACTAAACATTTACTCTGTGGGACACTGATGAGGAGTAGGCCTGTTGTAGGTGAAGAGAAGACGGGGTTATATGTGTATATTATTCACTGTAAATGTGACCGTGTTGCATCGGCGATATAGGTAGACATTTGGAAGTAAGCATTAAAGGTCACATAAAAGAACGTGACCCAATGGCTGTTTGAAAAATCAAAATTAGCCCAGCATACGGATGAAGAGAACTACGCGACATGTTGGAAAAAGTTATGGTTGTACAGTTTTGAACCTGACAACATCTAAAGCATATACAAGGTACCAATCCGCACTTCTCCAGTAACTCTTCTGATTAGTCATGCAAGCTTGGATATCTCTCCCATTTTGACTCCGTTCATTAAAGAAAACTACAACCCCTCCCATTTTAAGACTCTACGTGGCTATGCGTCTGTTTATACATCTCGTTTAATTTTCTATTTTTCGGAAATAGCGGCTCCGGTCGTGGGGATTCGTTGCGCTGACCACGCGACACCCTCTATCTGCAAAAGTTGGCACTAAACTTCGCCGACAAGCCTCGGTCCCTCGGTCGATATAGTTCGCTTGCGGACTAAAATAACGGAGTTTTGTATACAGGTATGTTGTTCTTGTATCAAAGAAAGTAAACAGCTATTCTCAGAACTCCTCGTTTCACCCGGTTCAATGGATCAAGCTTCAGCTTTAAGTTGGACTGTGGTTTCGAGACTCTGGCCGGAACAATGCGCAAGGCCATAGGTAAGGTCTCATGTATGGAGGTGAATATGTCCTTTCATCGTCACTACCATAGGTGGTTTCGCTCTTGCTCGGTTTCCAGAGGAAGGTAGTAAATTTATCGATTGAGCCCAAGAGCGTATGCGTTTTACCTGAAGATGGAAATAAGAGTCCAGTCTCCGAAACGTCTTTAAAAAAAATCAATGATGCATAATTTCCAGAACAATTATCAATTTAAATTGATAGACCCTAGTAGTGACTCCCAGGAAACGCACTTACGCTCCCCCTATTTTTTTTAAATTAATTTTGTTTCAAAATCAGATTCCTCTGGCATAATTCAGAGTTGTTCCTGATGTGATATGATGTAGGCAAAATCTTATATCAATTGATATTTGTGTGCCAAAACTAATTTCAATTACATCATTTATTTTCTAGTGGGGGCACGCGGTAGCGTAGTTGGTTGAGGCACTATGCTACAAGCCTTAAGATCGCTGGTTCAAGTCCCGATGAGGTAATTGGATATTTTTTTATTTACCTATTTCCTCCAGCCGCACTATGGCCCTGGGGTTCACTCAGCCTCTAATAGAAATGAGTACCAGGAATTAATTAAATAATTTTCCTGGGGAGTAAAGCGTGGCCGGCGCGTAAGGCTGACAACCTTACCGCCATCTCTGAGCCGATTGTCTAGATAGTGTGGGACCCTCAACGTCTCACAACCCTATGGGCCTTCACGGCCTGGTAGAGGGATAGCTTTACTTACTTACTCATGGAGCTGAGCCCTTCTGGAGGAGCCGCCAATTCTGCAGCTACTCAATTTTAGCTTTACTTTACTTTTTTTTTTACTTTTTTATTTCCTAGTATAATTATCCATGTAATATAAATCTGTATGAGGTGTAAATAAACTTCACGTGCAAAGAAAGGTCTGTGTATACTGAAACACGTTTTCATGTGATTCTGTTTGATGCTTCTGAGGATAATGGTTGCTACTCTTAATGTTTCTGCAGTTCAAATAAAACATCCGATTCTTTTAATTGCAAGGGAGGGTTTCGAATTTGAGATACACGAAAGATAGGATGTAAGATCCCTTCTTAAACAAGGCAACACATACAGCCCAAGGATTGTCTCCTTTTCGGAACGACAATGGCGCATATGAATTTCCTCACAAGGGGCAATGATGCAACAACCAGCTATACGACATTGTCTATAAATAAGAATACTCCATTGGAATGTATCCTAATTAGGATACACGCTCTGTAGAAGGAAACGGGAAGTAGATTACTTGTCATGAATTGCTGAAGGAAATCCCAGTTTCATAGATTTCAATATGAAAGAGAGTGTAATGTTTTGAGATACTTTAATTTCTGCTGATATTTCATGATAGAGCATCATCATCCTATTTTGCGAACATTCGATCATCGGACAATTAGAGCATAATGCGATTAATGTATTTCAAGCATTAATCCCAGTAAGAAGTAACGCCTAATTTTTTGGTTGTGATTGTCCGTCAGTGAATATGTCTTCCTCTCTATCTGCCTGTGACCTGGTATCAGAGCATAAACCGTTCAACTGATTGTTTATTTTAAATTCAATATGAGAGAACCTCGTCGCATGTTGTTTTGCATTTCCAACTTTCGGCCTCATTGATCATAGTTTAGATAGGATCATAAGAAGATTTTTCGTTGCAGTCCTTAAAAAAATACATTGTACGTGTATATTATATACATTATACATTTTGTTGAAATACCATATGAGAGACTTCGACTAAACGTTGTTGAATAATTTCGATTTTCAGCAATTTTAACATTTTGTTAATTCGATACAGAGGCTTCTAACAATTTTAGGAAAGACAGTTCCGTTTCTCAGTTATAACTGAGAAAGCATAACAAAACTTATTTTACATACGGTCATGAATTGTCTTCTACGTGTATTCTGTGTTTATCGAATGTATGTATTAGGAACACTGACAAATACAAATTATGTTCGTGATAGAGTCAAAATAATAAACTGCCGAAAGTTACAATACTTTTTCAGTTAAAATTATGATCCTCTCATTTCATTTCCAAAACGCTGAAGACTGAGATATACCCACACAAACACCTTTATCTATTTAGTATGGATGTGGCACCTGATGTCTTTCCTTCTTCTCTCCATTTCAAGGATTAGGCTGATGACCTGTTCTGGCTTGTGTGATTTCCATCTTCTATTTAGTCTACCAAGTTTCCTTCTTCTGTTGGGCTCAAACCAAATAGCTCGCTTCAGCACTCGTCCTTCTTCCATCCCTTCTACATGTTCAAACCAATCTTGTCTGTATCTTCATATTTCGCCATG